AACTGGCTTATCCTCTTTGGCCACCCCCACTTTTCAGGTTTGAGAGAACGTTTATAAATAAAAGCAAGGTGTTGTTTTTTTTTTTAATATGTTTATGTGTTGCATTAGATTTTTCAAAAACACTTTCATGCCCTTTATCAATGTTGTGGAGTTAATGGGCAATGATGACTGTCCCCATTTTAGAGATAAGGAAACAGAGGCCCCAACATGTAAAGTGAGCTGTCTAGAATTACCCATCTAGTTAGAAAGGAAAAGCAGGGGACCCTAGAGTCAAATCTCTCCCTCTAGTGGTCATTTCAACTTACTACTATGCCATCTATTGTTAGTGCCTAGGAATTGGTTGCAACTCATAGCAATCTTGTAATAGAGTTTCCAAGGAGTGAGTGGTGGGTTTGAACTGCAGACCTTGAGCTTAGTCCAGTGCTTAGCCTTAAGCGCCACACCAAGAGTCCCATCTGTTGTTGACTGCTGTTAATTCAGGCTCATGGTAAGCTAAATCATCCTTTCTGTGTCACCAGGGATCTAGCAGCCTGCTCGGCCCTCCACCTTCAAAGTGTCCAAACTGCCCAGAACTGTCAGACCAAGTGAGAGAGAAGGAAGCGCACGATCCAGAAGAAAATAGCTTTCAGATAGGGCAAGATATCTGTAACATTCTGGTTAGAGAATGAGTTTGAGAATGCGTCATGGTCTCAAGAAATGACTAATGTTGAGAAAAAAAAAAAAAAAAGTCACAAGACAGCAAATATTTTTTAAGAGTGCTGTTTAAAAAATAATAATAATTGAAAAAGTTTTTCATACTGACAGAGACATTCTTTGGTGGTTACCAGGAGTTGGAGGGAAGGAGAGGGTGTGTAAAGTATTATTATTTTTTTTTTTTAAGTACGTAAGGAAACAAATAAATGACTAATTGGAAGAAATGAAGAAAATGGATACCTCATTTGAGCTGATAAAAATACTCCAGCATCAAAGTGAGAGCCCAAGTGAGACTCAACAGTGTCCGGAAACTGTCTGAGGCATTGGTTGGTGAGCAGTACCTGGCACATGTACTTGCATGAGGTCTTTAAGAGAATGATGTGTATACGATTGGTCCCTGGGGGTAGAAACAGAGACCTGGTGATGGAGTGAATAGATGGCAGAACAATAGAGAATTAGGACAAGGTAACATTTGTTCCTCAACTGGGCCTAGGTGTGTGGGGAGGAATTTGGTTTTCAAACGAGGTCTGTGGACATACATTCTTGAGACAAGGAAGAAGAGTGAGGAAATGGACACTGAGGGTGAGTCTGGCTAAAGGACAATTAAGTCTGAGTCCAGGAGACATGGGAATTGTTGCTGCAGACTGAAGCTGAAGCCACTCTTCTCCTAGGAACCTTGCTGAGATGCATGGTAAAAACAAGGTGGCAGCAGTGCCCAGTGTGACATTTCCCCTCCTCCTAGGTGGACGCATCCTGGCAGCATAGATTACATGTTAGGCTGCTAAATACGAGTTCAGCAGTTCACATCCACCAAGAGAAAGATGAGGCTTTCTGCTCCCGCAAAGATTTGTTACTGTTGGGAAGTGCCGTTGAGTCAGTTCTGACTCATAACAATACTCATAGTGACCCAGTATACGGTTTCCAAGGAGTGGCTAGTGGCTTTGAACCACCAAGTTTGTGTTGAGCAGTCCAGTGCTGATCCTACAGAAACCCTACACAGGGTCGCTATGAGTCAAAACCGACTCCACGGCACGCAGCCGCAGCAGGTGGACTCATTGGTGGTTTCAGCCAACGCTGCCTGAAGGGAAGGCAGCACCACTTAGGACCCTTCTGGATTTTCAACTTGGAGTGCCCCTAGCATCCAGGCCCCACCCCAGCAGAAATCTCCCTGTTGACATCACCACAGGCACTCAGCAGCAGCTGGAGCAAGGCAGAAAGAGCAGCCCTCAAGTGGTAACATGGGCAGCTGACATCCATGAGACAGAGTGGGAAGGGAAAAGCAACAGGAGAGGATTATCTCAGAGTGCATGAAACTGCTGGGGAAACCTTCCAGGGCAACAGGTCCTGTAACACATAGGCAGGGACAGAACTCAGGGACATCTGAGTTTTTACTGTTTATGGGACTTCAGTTTTATTCATGGGCTAGAGAAACTTGAGACACCATTTTCCAGTAGATGAGATTGCTTCAAGACTTGAGGAGATGCAGACTTCATATAGATGCAGAGTAGCTCTTGAACTATTTCTAAATATAACCTTAACAGTGGGTGGGGTGGTTAAAGGAGCAGGGACTGAGCTCCTGCAGGGTATGATTGGGCTTCACTTGTTGCATTCGCCTCTTGTGATATCAGCTTGAAGGAGAGGCGAGGTACAAGCAAATGGAAGAACAACTGGGGAGAAAAATGAAAAAAAATTGCTATTCCCCCATTATCATGGCTGTAAGAAAATCAGTTTCATTTTCAAGGCATCTTCCTTCCCACATACATTTTCCAGACCTGGGTTATGAATTCTGTATCACCAATTTGTTTTTTTCAGGAGAATAAACTCAGCAGTGCTTCTCCAAGCTAAGAGCAACCCTGCTGAACATGAAGATCCAAACTGGACCAGGTGGAAATCAATAGGACCAGAGAAGAAGGAGAAATCTGAGTTCCTAGAGGCTTGCTGCCTAGGCGCCTGGGATTTCCCAACTTATTCCACCCTCTTTTTTCCTGGGGCAACAGTAAGGGTGGATTGGTGCTGTTTCAAGCAGCCTGCTGAGCCAGATTCTTATCTGTATTATAATGGGGCTGCCAATTCGTCTGCCAATCTTTGTTTTTTCTAAGAATCATTTTCCTATTCCTGGAATCAGACCCAATATTTAGGGTAATGGAACATCAGACTTAAGTCCTCAAAGACAACTACCAGAAGATTTGAGGTTTGGTTTCTGTCCCTGTCTTTCTATCACCACTGATTCACCTAGTCTGTTACCTGGATTATTTTCATTGTTGTCATTGTTAAGTGCCATTGAGTTGGTTCTACCTTATAGCGACCCTGTGCAGGATTTCCAAGGAACCTCTGGTGGGTTGGAACTGCCGACCTTGTGGTTCGCAGTTCAGTGCTGATCTTATAGCACCATGTTGTTGTTGTGAAGTGCCGTCGAGTCGGTTCCGACCCATAGCGACCCTGTATAGGGTTTCCGAGGAGCAGCTGGTGAGCTTGAAGTGCCGACCTTGCAGTTCAAAGGGCTTTGCAGTCTGGCACATTAACCCACAGCGCCACACCAGGAGTCCTACAACAGCTCCATAGGGGCTCATAACTGACCTCTGACTTCCTTCCCCCATCCTTCCTCCAAACTGTTGGCAAGTTAGCTTTGTAAAGTCTGTTTTTAATCATGTCACTGCTATTATATATATTTTTTTCTTTTAATTTTTATTGTGAACTGAGTGATAGCTTATATGGGAGAACATCAGCATTACATTCATCCTATTGATCCTATTGTCACTCCTATTTTTGAAACATATTTGAGTAACACACTTGCTTGGAATATAATTGAATAAATAAATTGGTCCTGTTGGTAGGAAATACCCCAGTCTCATGATTTATTGTCTTCATAACCTCACCATGATGTCAACCAATCTTATGTATGTGTTTTCTCAATCACTGCCTGTCTCCCTCCCACCTCCTCCACCAGTGGAATATGATTTTCAGGTCATCTGTCTGTGGCCCCAAACAGTGGCTGGCATAGTTTAGATAATAAATACTGATTGAATGAAGAACTCAATAAGTCAAATTTTATTAACCACTATTAGTTCTTTTTGTTGTAATGAACTTTATTTACTTTTATGATTACAATTACAAATGTCATACATGCTTACTATAGAGAATCTGGAAAGTATAGAGAAGTAGAAAGAAGACAATTGAAAAACATTCATAAACCCACCACCTGAAGGCAAACACTGCTCACATTATGTTCTGAATATCTATGCTTGTCTAGAGACCAAGAACCTTATCAAGAGTGCAGGCCACAAAAGCACAATAGCTTAAGGGAGTGAGGGAAATTAATCACTGAGGGAACCACCCAGAGGTCGGCAAAGAGATTCGGCACTTAGGGACAAGACAAGATCAAACCAATCAAGAGGTTAGAAACTGACAACACAAGGACAAGTTGGGTTAATTTAAGAATGCAATGAGATGACGCTTGTCAAGAGTTTAGCCCAGTAGCTGTCACGTGGCACATAACTAACAAATATTAACCTTTACTAGTATTGTTACTACTATGGGTCAAAACAAATGGTTCAGGATGGAGACTATAATAAACAGGGCAATGGCCCTGAAGACTCATTTTTAGGTGCTATGAATTGTGGAAGGAGCCCTGGTGGTACAGTGGTTAAAGTTCCCAACTGCTAACCAAAAGGTTGGTGGCTCAAATCCACTAGCTGTTCCGTGGGCGAGAGATGTCATAGTCTGTTTCTGTAAAAGATCACAGCCTTGAAAACTCTATGGGTCCGTTTTACTCTGTCCTATAGGGTCCCTGTGAGTCAGAATCGACCCAATGACAATAGGTTTGGTTTAGTTATGATTTGTGGCACATAGGGGCAAGTCTACTGGGTTAAAAGGTTGATGTAGGAATGGGTATCACGCTCCTTACAGGCTCCCCTGCCAGGTGAAATAGGGCCAGGGCCTCCTCAAGTGTGCCTGATGACACGTGGCAAGACACTCTGAGGTATTTTTGAGGTAGGACATGATTTCTCCTGCCTAGACTGCCTCCTGGACCAAGAACTAGGACTGGCCTCGATGGTGATGGGAGTTCAGATTTAAGCTGCTATCTATTCTTAATCCTGGTCTTTGATTGTCAGGGAAGGCTACAGGCATGTGCGATGAAGGATAAGGTCAAGCCAGCTGAGTGGCAGATCGGATGGGATGTGCCTGGATGGGGAAGTTGAAGGAAGAAGGCAACACGGTTTGCGATGTAATTGTACGGGATGGGTCCAGGAACCAGTCCTCAAGTTAGCAGCAGAGTCAGATGTCACAGGAGAAGAGTCCAATGAGCATTATTTGTCAGTGGGGGCCTTCTGATGGCCTGTGCTCTGTTGAAGGTGGCCATGAAGACCTTCTTGGGGGTCTCCATGCTCTTTCAGGTAGAAACAGCGTTTAGGAACATGCTGGTGCTGGCAGTAAGAAAAAACACAGCAGAGGTAAAAACCACACTTACTAGGATAAGGAATGTTCTATGTGAACAAGTTCAGCAACTTACCAGATCAAGGAACTTGGCTAATTTTTCTTTCCTGCACAAAGACTGACCGGAGACTAGGCTAACCAAATTCCCTAATGACCTGAGTCTATAACACATAGCTCTCTAGGAGAGACTCACCTCCCGAAAGAAAATACTTTCCTTGAAATAAGTGGAGAGTTGAGGTGGAGCCCAGACAGTTCTCTCATAATCAGAAGATTTAGTCCTTGAATCATCCCAGACCCTAAGTAACTTGGGTGTGACTTCGCCACCCCAAATGGTTAATCACCCAAAGTAACTGTGCACCGTGATCACTGATGAAACTCCAGTATAGGGTTTATAGGCAGGGACCTCAAAGCTTCCCCACTGCCTCCTCCTTATTCTCACTAATGTTTCTACTAAAAAATTACTTGCGTGCACTCTTCCATCATTACCTCCTCAGTCTGCTGATGAGAGTTCAGTTCATCCTCCATTGCCTCCTCATTATTCCGCTTACAGACTGAAGGCAGATCCTGGCTTGAGTTGCCCAGAGAATCCTTTTCTTCAGCCAGCTGGCACTCAGTATAGAGAGACCTGTCTATCAGCTCCTTTAGGCTGCCAGCCACCTTCAGGAAGATCCGACCCATTTTGGTGGCAACAGCTTCTGAGAGTCCTTCCAGAAACCTGGTCCGTAAAATGGCATCAGACCAAGACAAATGTCGGGCCAGGAGTAGGAAGTCAGTGGCATACTGCCTAACTGACTTCTGGCCTTGCTTGGGATGGCAAAGAACAGCACTGAGGATGTCTACTTCAGATAAAGAGTCATATAAGCCCTGGGATCTGGCCAGGAAAGATTTATTCTCAGCTGAAAGGGGGTTTCCTACCTCCATCTGCAAGATAGACCACCGCTCATCTGCCCCCAAATGAAGAGACACCAGAAATGCCATTTTCTCGGAATCATCCAAAAAACCTTTGATCTGCTTCTCCTCATCAATCTCCATCTCCTCTTCCACAGGACACGAACCCCGGGCCGCTTCCTGCTCTTCTAAGAGGTAACAGAGTGCTGGTGTCAACATTCCAAAGGACGGAACTTCCTGTTGGGGTGGGTTCCTCATATCAGGGGCTGTGGCTGTTGCACATGGTGTGAACTTTGACCCAGAGGTTGTGGTGTTGATGTGAGGGATGGATGTCTCTTCACAGTCTGTGGTTTTGGTTTCTGGGTTGGATATCACTCTAGAGGCTGTGGCTTCCACTTGTAGTGTGGACATTGCTCCTGAGGCTGGGACTCTCATTAGCGGCCTGGATAGCCCCCCAGAAGCCATGGTTGTCATTTGTGACATGGGCATCCCTTCAGAGCCTGTGGCTCCAGAAGATGTGGCTTTCATTGGTAATGTGGCCATCCCTCCAGAAGCTGTGTACATTATCTGTGATGTCAACGCAGATTCAGAGCTTGGGGCTCTTGTTTGCAGTGTGGAGATTGCTGCTGGGATTGGGCTCTTCATTAGTGGCACAGACATCTCTTCAGAAGCCATGGCTGACACATGTGGCATGGGCATGGTTCCAGAGTTGGTGGCTCCGATTAGTGGCATGGGTACTCCTCCAGAGGTCATGGCTGTTGTTTGTGTCATGGACATTTTTCCAGAGACCGGAGCTCTCATGAAATCGGTGCGCATCTCTCCAGAAGCTGTAGGTGTCAACTGGGGTGTGGACATTGTTCTAGAGCCTGAAGGTTGTATCGACATCATGGATATTCCTCCAGAGTCTATGGCTGTCATTTGAGGCACAGGCATAGCTCCAGAGACTGTGGATCTCGTTGGCAATGTGGATATCCCTCCAGAGACTGGCGCTCTCATTTGTGTCATGGGCATCATTCCAGAGGCTGTGGAAGTCATTTGTGGAGTGGACATCACTCCGTAAGCTGGAGCTCTCAGAGGCGCAGATATCTCTCCAGAAGCTGAGGTTCTCATTAGTGGTGTGGATATCTCTCCAGTGGCTGGGGCTATCATTCTGGGATCAGACATCACTTCAGAGGTGGAGGCTCTCGACTGCAGTGTAGACATCCCTCCGCAGGTCATGGATTTCATGAGCAATGTAGGCATCCCTCCAGAGGCACTCTTAAGCTGATTGGAAACCTTTGCAGAGGTTGTGGCTCTCATTGGTGACATGGGCATTGCTCCAGGGACTGGAGATCTCTTTAGTGGCATGGACATAGCTCCAAAGGCTGTAGCTGTCATCTGTGGGGTGGGAATCCCTTCTGAGACTGGGGGTCTCTTTATCGGTCTGGACATTCCTCCAGAGGCCTTGGCTGTCACTTGTGGCATGGACATCCCTCTAGAAACTGTGTCTCTCACTAGCATTGTGGATATCTCTCCAGAAGTTGTGGTTGTCATTGGCTGTGTGAACATTTCTCCAGAGGCTTTGGGTGTCATTAGTGGCTTGGCTGATGCTCCAGAGGCCATAGCTCTCATTTGTGATGTGGACATCATTCCTGAGGCTGTGTCTCTTGTTAACAGTGGGGACATCGACCCTGATGCTTTGGCTGACATTAATGGAAGGCACGTAGCTCCAGAAACTGTGGCTTGCATTTGTGGTGTAGACATCACTCCTGAGGTGGTGGCTCTCATTTGTGACATGGGCATGGCTCCCGAGTCTGGGGCTCTCATTTGCAGTGTAGACATAGATCCAGTTGCTGGGGCTGTAAATTGTGGCATGGATATTGTTTCAGGAGCTACAGTTGTCATTAGTGGTACAGACATCCCTCCAGAGACCGAGGCTCTTATCTGCTGTGTGGACATGGCTCCACTGGCCATGGCTTTCGGAAACCCTGTGGAGATTGCTCCAGCAGTTTTGGCCATCATTGACTGTGTGGACATCACTCTAGAAGCTGTGGCTGACATTTTCTCTGTGGTCATTGCTCCAGAGGTTGTAACTGCCCTCAGTGGGATAGACATTGCTCCAGAGCCTGGGGCTGTCGTTAGCAATGTAGACACATTTCCAGAGGTCGTAGCTCTCATTAGTGGTGTGGACATTGCTCCAGAGTCTGAGGCTCCCATTGGAGGTGTGGGCATCGCTCCCGAGGTGGTTGTTGTCATTGGTGGAGTAGACATGATTTCAGAATTTAGATTTTGTGTCAACAATGGGGACATTGCTACAGCTCCTGGGCCTGCTGTTAGCTGGGTTGGCATCCCTCCAGAGGCTACAGAAGTCGTTAGCAGTGGGGATACTGCTTCAGATTCTGAGACTGGCTTTAGTAATGTGGACATTTCTTCAGCATTTGAGATAGACAGTAGTGTTGGGGACATGGCTTCTGAGCCTGGAACTGAAGTTAGCAGTGAAGACATTTCTGTGGCATCTGGGCCTGACATTAGTGTGGTGGGCATTCCCCCGGAGTCTTGGGTGCTCATTGGCTGGGTTGGCATTGCTCCCGAACCTAGCGCTGACATTATCAGTGAGGATATTGCTTCAGAGTCTGTGCCTGACATTAGCAAGGATGATATCTCGCCAGAGGCTAGAGCAGTCATTAGCACTTTGGATATTGCTTCAGTGTCTTCATCTGTAATTTGCAAAGGGGACATTGCTTCAGAGCCTGGAGCTGTCATTTGTTGTGTGGACATTCCTCCAGGGTTTATATCTGGCATTAGCAGTGGGGATATCTCTCCAGGATCTGGGGCTAGCATTAACTGTGTGGACATGGCTTCAGAGGATGAAGGATTCATTATAGGTGCAGACATCATTCCAGAGGATGAAGCCGGCATTGCTAACGGTGATATCTCTCTAGAATCTGGAGCTGTCATTAATGCTGTGGACATCATTCCAAAGTCAGGAATTGTCAGCCCGGGGGACATCAACCCATAATCTGCAGTGGACAAAAATGGAGAGAGCACTCCAGAATCGGAGGCTGGCATTAGCAATGGGGACAGTGTGCCAGAATCTGAAGCTGGCATTAGCAATGGGGACAGTGTCCCCGAGTCTGAGTTTGACATTAGTTGTGGCGACAGTGCTCCAGAGTTTGGTGTCCCCATTAAAGGGGCAGACACGGCATCAAAGGCTGGGGGTGTCATTAGCTGTGTGGACATCCCTCCAGGATCAGAGGCTGAAGTTGAGGCTACAGGCAAGTCTACATGAGAATTCAGAATTTGGACATCTGCTCTGGTTTCCGTCACTGGTCTAGAGAAGGTCGTCCCCCTGTTTTGGGGGTCAGCATTTTCCTCCTTCAGCATGCTGTTGAATCGCAGTGAATGTAAGGTCATAGAAAAATCTGCCATAGCCACAGGATAGTGTGGAGGGACACCCACTCTAAAGCGATGATATCAGAGGTCCCGTTGAAGTTCAAGAGGCAAGGTGATCTGTAAACAGGAAACAAGTTTAGAAGTCAAAAGCCATTATCGAAAAGATTGGGAAAGAGACAAATAATTCATGGTTGCTGTTGTTGTTGTTAAGGGCTGCTGAGTAGCTTCCGACTCACAGCGACCATGTGTAGGGTTTCCAAGGAGTGGCTAGTGACTTGTTTTAATGTGTTGCTAATTGTAAGGAGCTCTTGTAGCGTAGTGGCTACGAATTGGGCTGCGAACCGCAAGGTCAACAGTTTGAGCCTACCAGCTGCTCCGTGGGGAAAAGATGAGTCTTTCTGCTCCCGTAAAGATTTACAGCCTCGGTAACCCTGTTCAGGGTCGCTATGGGTCGGAACCGACTCGACGGCACTTAACAACAACAACAATTGTATGACATTGGAGATCAGGTTAAAGAAGCTGTGCAACAGTGAACTAATTTGAAGTTAGAGCAAACATCCCTTCTTCCTCTTTTTGTTTTTTCCCCAAACCAATGCACCCAGTGACAATAGCACAACCTCTCCATTTATAAATTCTATAAATGTCAGCTACCTCAGTAGCCATGAGCCTGGGCAGTCCTGGCTCAAATGAAGCAGCAGCACCACCTTCTGGCCAACTGCAAGAAGTTCAAACTCCTGGGCTAAATTCTGTCCCACCACAGAACTCGCAAGCCAGCTAGGTACAGACAGCTTGAACTGGAAACTTTTTGGCTCAGGGATAGTCATATTCGAGGCTCACTGAGTCTTCACAGTGGTTTAGTCCCCATTTTACGACTCTGACATCTTGAACGTCCTCCTCAGGAAAATGAGTTTGATCAATGATGTGAAACAGCAATGCATGAACTGAACATTCTCGTTTTTAATGTTATTATCATCAATGATAACCACTATTACTATCATGTATTGGTCACCTAGCATGTGCTAAGCACGGTAGGGCTTTATTAACTTTATATCATTTGCATCTCACAACACCCTACATAATGTTGTTGCTGTAAAGTGCCAGCCAGTCAGTTCCGACTCATAGCGACCCTGTTTGGGTTTCTGAGGAGCGGCTGGTGAATTTGAACCACCAACCTTGCTGTTCAAACCGACTTTGTAGTCTAGTGCTTATCCTACAGTGCCACACCAAGACTCCCTGAATGATAAGTAACATTATTGGTCCCATTTACCAGCTTTCTCTAAGTAAAATAGGGGTTAAAATAGGGTAACTGGAGCCCAGGTGGCACTCACTGTGGGATAAGCAAGATCAATGGTTCAAACACACCTGCTTCACACAGCAGAAAGATGAGGCTGTCTGCTTACATAAAGATCTATAGTGTCAGAAGTGCATAGGGTCACTATGAATCAGAATCTATTTGATGGCTGTTGTTGTTGTTAAGTGCCGTCAAGTCGGTTCTGACCTATAGTGACCCTGTATAGGATTTCCAAGGAGCGGCTGGTGAGCTTGAACTGCTGACATTGTGGTTCAAACCGACTTTGCAGGCCAGTGCATTAACCCTTAGCACCACACCGGTAATGGAACCCTGGGAGCACAATGGGGTAAGCGTTGGTCTATTATTAACCATAAGGCCAATGGGAGAAAGATGAGGGAGTCTGCTTTTATATAGACATACAACCCTGTGTTCAACCCTATAGAACACAGTAGAACTGCTGTGTTCTATAGGGTTGATATGAGTCAGAATCGACTCCACGACAGTGGATGAGGACAATAATAAACTGACTATGGGTAATTCTCACCCTATCCTTGGCGTTTCCTAACCTTTGGCATCCCTAAGGTCACATTCAATTATTTCAATAACATCCTAGACCATGGCTCACTTGAAGCCCAGTCTATAAAGCAAATACAGTTTGATTTTCTGTGCCAACATGGGGATGGGCAGTCGTGGAGTCATACCCCACTGACCCACTCTCCTAAGCAGCCCCAGAAGGGGTTCCTTGGCACACAGCTTGGAAGTCCATGCATACATCCCATAGCAGCTTGCCTATGCCATAAAATGGAAGAGGTGTTACTATGGCAAGATGTCACAAAAGTCATCAATCTCATGTCATGCCTTCCTCCGTGATAATGATGATAATATCAGCAAAACAAAACAAAAAAACAATAGCTAACATTTCTTGAGACTGGATTGACTAGCAAGCATAGCACCAAGCATTTCTCATGCACCATTTCATTTGGTACCTGTAGTGACATTAAGAGATTTTAGTAGTTTTAGGTCTTCCTTGTAGCGTAGTGGTTACGAGTCAAGCTGCGAACCGCAAGGTCAGCCATTCTAAACTACCAGCTGGTCCGTGGGAAAAAGATGAGGCTTTCTGCTCCCGTAAAGATCTGCAGTCTCAGAAAACTTATGTAGGGTTGCTATGAGTCGGAATCGATGTGACGGCACATCACCACCACCACCATGTCTTCCTTGGAGTCCTGATGTGGCACTGTGGGTTAATGTGCTGGACTGCAAAGTCACTTTGAACCAAAAGGCTGGTGGTCCAAGCTCTCCAGCCGCTCCTCGGAAACCTTATACAGGGTTGCTATGGTAGGAATACACTCGGCAGCACTGGTTGTTGTTGTTAAGTGTTGTAAGGGTCGATTCCGACCCTGTATAGGGTTTTTGAGGAGCGGCTGGTGAGTTTGAACTGCCAACCTTGCAATTCAAACCTACCTTGCGGTCCAGTCTGCTAATCACAAGGTCAATAGTTCCAAGCTACCAGTCATTTCGTGGGAGAAAGATGAGGTTTTCTGCTTCCATAAAGATTACAGCCTCAGAAATCCTATACAAGGTCACTATGAGTCGAAATCAACTCGGTGGCACACAACCACCACCATGGCCAGATCTTCCTTAGGAACCCTGGTGACACCGTGCTTAAAGTGCTTGGCGGCTAACCTGCTCAGTGGGAGAAAGATGTGACAAGTCTGCTTCTGTAAAGATTTATAGCTTTGGAAACCGTATGGAGTGGCTCATTGTCCTATAGGGCTGCTATGTGCTAGAGTCAACTCCATGGCATTCAGTGAGTGGGATCTCTTCATTGGACAAATGAGAAAATAAGGCCCAGAAAAGCTGAATCATTTATGAGCATCCACATAGATGCCCGAGCCTCTTATTCTTCACTTTCATGCAATGATGATCCACTTGGTCTGCCCCCTCCCCTTCCCTTCAATGCAATCACGTTACTAAGACCCCACCCTCTATCTCCAGTCTGGACAACTCCAAGATGGGTGTGGGATGGGGTGGAAGATAGAGTGAAAGAAATAAAGAAATACTGGCCCCCTGCTGACATTTTGGCTCCTCTAACACTTGGTGCAATGGCAAACATATGAGTCAAATGTGTCCTAGAAGTCCACCTCTTATCTTCCAAAAATCCTCTGAACCATGTCACAGTTCCCCACCAGGAAAAACCCAGGAAGATCTTACCTTACCAGTCAGGGAGAAGAGAGAGGTCCTTTGCGACCCTAGCTCTTTGAGTCTGGCCAATTTGCTTATGCCCCATGCCCAGTCAGTTCATTAAAGTAAGACCCAAGACCAGCAGCTGTTCACTGCAATCTCCCTTAACTATCCCCTGCCACACCCCCCTCCTGCCCGCCAGCCAGCCTGCCTGCCCGCCCACCCACCCCACTGCTCCCGACTTGCTAGTGCTTGCTCTGTCTTCTGGTCCCAGATTCTTGCCTCTATATAGGCTCTGACACTTGCCTCTGGCCGCCTTTCACTTGACAGCCCTCCAGAAGCTCCACTTGAGCACTTGGCCTAAGCAACTCCTCTCCTCTTTCTCCCTCACTCCCCAAAGTTCCACTGCCTACACCCCCCACATCCACTATGCCTGTTTCTGAGTATTCCACAGAAAAGAGAAGAGTCCCGCAATTCACTAGATGAGCTTGACAGGGTTCTGACTCAGGGAAGGAGACCTGTCCTCCACAGTTGGCCAGACACGAAAGTCCTGGGAGCCAGTCACTGCAACTGGTGTGACATGAAGCACAGGGAGGCAGAGGGTTAGAGGGAAGCGATCTGGGAGTAGAGGTTGAGTGGCACAGCAGCAGAAAAGTTCTAAGAGGCTCAAGTACAGGGAGGCTAGGGTTTGAGGGGAATGGGTGTTGGGCATTCAGGGCAAATGCCTTCATAGAACCCTGCAATGGTGATGACAAAAAGAAGAAAAAATTTAAGAGCCAATTTGCCCCGGTGTCAGAAACACTGCAGGATATCAGGCAACCAGTATTGTTGCTACAGGGCTAAGATTCAACAGTTAGACTCCAGGGATTTCAGACAGCTAGCAAGAAAATCGCACTTGAGCACACCTTGCATATAGAAACAGGGCTAAAGTCTGCTTTCTAGAACTGGGGCACAAGGTCAGACTAGAAACAGCAAAAACCAACTCTTCCAACCTTTTGAATCAGTATCCCTTAAACCCACAGACTATGGACAGAATTGATCCTTGAACCCTAGAAAGGGCTAAGTCTTCAGGTGGAATTTAAGTAGCCAAGTTGGGGGACTCAAAAGGAGTCCTGGTGGCACTGTGGGTTTGGCATTGGGATGTTAACCACAAGGTCAGAAGTTCAAATCCACCAACCGCTCTACAGAAGAAAGATGGGGCTATCTGCTTCCATAAAGATTGAGTCTTAGAAAACCTATGGAGCAGTTCTACTCTGTCTGAAAAGGCCGTTATGAGTCAGACTCAAACTGATGGCAGTGGGTATCAGAGTTTGGTGTTGGGGGTAAGGAGGGGACATTTGGGCCTTTATAAACCTTCCCACATTCATAACAAGCAACCAACAATAATTGAGCACTTGGGATAAGTACTATACGTGCATTATATCACTGACACCTTACAGCCACCCCTGTAAGATAGGCACTGTCAGCATTCCCATTTTATAAATAAGGGAACAGACTTGAAGAAGTTATGTGACCAACATCACAGAGCTAGTAAATCGCAAAGCCCAGATATGAGCCTGGGTCAGCCTGGTTCCCAAACCCAGGTCCTTAACATTTCCTCTCTTTGTAATCAGACAAGTAGTGAGAACAACTCCAAGTGCCCTACCCACTGCCACCCCTTCCTTGGGAGTCCCACTCCACCGGGCAAGGGAACTTTGTTACCATTTCTGACTGATGAATCATGGTAGCAATGCTTATCATAATAGCAACTGACATTGATCAAACTCTTCCCATGTACCAAGACTGGGGCTGCAGGCTTCACAAGCATTAGCTCCTTTGATCCTCATAACTGCCCTGTGAGCTAGGTCTTTTGAATCCCCAGTTTGCAGATAAGGAAACTGAGCCTCTGTGAGATGAATTGAAACAAACAAAAGCACATAGCTCTGATTCCAGAGCTCATGATAATATACTACTCAAAAGGAAACATTTCAGTATCACTCACTCCTCTGCTGTAAACCAAAAGTTAGTCACATAAACCCAACCCATCTGTTACCAACGGCATAACAACAGCAAGTATTACTAATATTATTGCTATATCTAATAATACAAGGTAGCATTTACTGTCTCAGGCACTGTGCTAAATGCTTTCCATACACTATCTCATGTAGTACTCACAACAAGCCTATGAGGGAGGTATTATGATCACTTTTATTTTCCAGATAAGGAACTAGAGCACAGAGAGGTTTCCCAAGATCACACAGCAAGCAGCATGTTTGAGTATAATAATAACAATTTTTTTTTTAAATTGGCCATCACCTAAAAGCCCAATTGTAAAATACAATTCATTTACTGATCAGTAAATGGTGAATCTGT